CAGCACCGCACACAGCACCGCACAGCACAACACTGCGTACAGCACAGCACCGCACACAGCACAGCACCGCACATAGCACAGCACAGCACCGCACACAGCACAGCACAGCACCGCACAGCACCGCACACAGCACCGCACAGCACCACACAGCACCGCACAGCACCACACAGCACCGCACACAGCACCGCACAGCACCACACAGCACCGCACACAGCACCGCGCACAGCACAGCACCGCACACAGCACCGCACGCAGCACCGCAGTGCCGCATTGCAGGTCAGCCGCGGTTCCTCCTCTGCAGAGCTCCTCCTGCCTTCCTTCCTCCCTCGCCTGCCCGTGCTGGATGTCCCAGGGCTCCTCTGTGCCTGCAAGGGGAGATGGTTTGCAGTTGAGGGAGGGCAGATGGAGGTTGGATGTCGGGGAAGTTCTGTGCTGTGAGAGCGGTGAGGTGCTGGAACAGCTGCCCAGAGAGGCTGTGATGCCCCGCCCATCGATCCACCGATGCCCGGTCCATCGAGGCCCAGTTGGATGGGGCCCTGGGCAGCCTGGGCTGCCATGAAATGTGGCAAGGGGTTGGAGCTCCATGATCCTTGAGGTCCCTCCCAACCCGGGTCACTCTGTGACTCTGTGATTCTGCCTAGGTCCTGCTGAAAGGCAGCTCGGCGGCTCCTCCATCAGCAGATTTGCAATCTAGGATGCAGGAAGCTCCTTTTGGGCAGGCAATGTGGGACACTCCTAGCGTCCTCCACTGCGTCCCCGTCCCTCACATCCACAGGAAGATCCATAGATGGATCCAGGGGGTCTATCCACTCCCGATAGACTCCAGTGCTGGAGCACGTGGCGCTGGCAGCTCCATTCTGCCTGAATGTGGCCACACTGTCGGATCTGAGTAAAGGAAAAACTTTAAAATGGCATTTATGGCACTGCTTTCTCCTCTATCCCTATAAAAGGACTCAGCTGCAGTTCTCTTGGTAGAATACGATCAAAAATCACATTCCTGCTCAGTTCACAAAATCTGCAGTGCGCTGTGGTGTCAGCAGCCAGGAGTCATCCGCAGGAGAACAGAACGGTTTCTCCCCATGGGTGCTGCTTCCCCACTTGTGAGGGCCAGCAGAGCCCTGAACCCATTTGAAAATCTCGTTACTGGGAGGACTAATGAACAACAGGCACAGACGTTCATCCCACGGGATGAGAAGAATGACATGAGCTGCTGAGTCCGGGCTGCTGCAATTAGTCACAGACGTCAGTGTAATGGGGTGGCTGAGTAAGAATGCCTATAAGAACAGAGGCCTTCTCCTGTGGAAGTCCCAAAGATACAAAATCTTCACTGTACCCCAGGAAAATGCAGGAGGAAAAAGAGTCCTGCCTGTCCTTGGGCCCTGGCTGCTGCAGAAGCCGTTGGGTAGAAACGCCAACTCCATCACCCGTGTGCTTCACCTTGTGTCCTCTTCCTGTTCCCTGCAGGGACATCGTGCTGGCGTCACACCTGAGGCCTCTAGAGAAGAAGGACAAGATGGGGAACAAGAGAAACGTGCTGTGGAACCCCTGTGCAGGCCACCCGAGGGGCCAGCAAGCCACTGAGGTGGAGATACCACAGGTGAGGGAGATGCCCTGGGCAAGGGGAGATGCTTTCTGGGGCTTCACCCATGCCTAAATATTACTGCAGAATAATTTGGCTGTCACTTTAATGCACAAGAGCTATTCAGAATTATTTCTACGTGTGAAGAAGCCTCAGAATACCCAGTTCTGAGCTGCAGGGTTCAGTCTCAGCTCCTTTTTTGTGCCTGCATCAAGAGTTGAAGACCAGATGATGGAAGACTCGGTGCCCTGTGTCTGACAGTGGCCAGCAATGGATTCTTGGGGAAGAGTGCCCTCCGTTGGCCATGCTCCTCCAGCTGGCTGCAGCCTGGAGACTGAGAGCCAGGCTGTGCATCTGGATTGCTGCATTTAATGGCCACAGATAACACATCTTCTGTGAACGGAGCCAATTCTTCTTCACCCCACAGTTTAATTATGCATGAGATGGAAAAGCGCTGTTTTGTTTTCAGCGTGCTGCCCGATGAGTTCATTGGGTCATCCTTACTTCTGCAGTTGGGAAACGGTGCAAAAATATTTTCTCCGCAGGCTCCGTGTGATGGGGCTGACATCTGCCCTGCTGCCATCAGAGGACTTTTTCCAAGTCCTGATCAGCTGAGTGTCTTCTGGAATGGAAGGACTCCGTGCTTCCATCTTTCCCTTATTTCCCTTCCCGCTCTGGTGCTGGGTTATTTTGATGCAGGCACCCACCAGATGTGCAGAAATAAAAAACGGTCACTTTGCTCTCAGTTGGTTTCCTGTTAGCCCCCAGTGTTGGCTCTGTTTTGGTGTTTTCAGCCTGTGGTGACTCCTGGCAGCCCAGCAGCACGATGGCAGTGTTGGTGGTGCACTCTGTTCTGGACTGTTCCCAGCTGGAGATGTTCTGCAAGAAATTTTTGACAGTGAATTTCGTTTGCCTGTTTATGATGAGATCCTTTTTGCAGCTCTTCTAAGGCAGCTTTGTCTTTGCTTGGGCTGAGCAGTGATCTCCCCAGAGCAAATGCTGCTCTTAATCCCATTAGTGCTCAGGCTCTGATCTCCAGGGCCTCTCCATTTCGTGTTTAGACGCTGCCTGATGCTGCTGCACCTCGTTCTCAGGATCTGTATAAAAGCCCAAACATTTTAATCCTTCTGCAGGCAGCAGTATGAGTTCAGCAGTTCAATTACATATCGTATAAGCAGGATTTCTTTTTATCCGGAGATGCCACATTGAGCTGGGTGTCTCAGTCTGGGTGCTTGATTGTGGGTGTGTGTGTTACAGGACGCTACGAGACAGTATGTGAGGCTGCTTTTATAGGGTTAGGGTGTGCACATAGGATGTATAAACTAATATGCTTTCTGGGTTTTAAGCCCTTCAGCTTTTTTCTCTTCACCTGTTTGGTTTGCTTGAGAGGGACCCAAATTTCTGTGGAATTATCACAGTCTCCAAGAGATCCTTTTCAGTGGATGGTGGATCCAGAGTGGGCAGTTTGGGTTCCTGTGTTCACGTGCCTTTCATCTCTCACCCACTCTTCCTTTATTTTTCTCTGAAGTCCTCTGGTTTCTCTTGGGCTCGATGAACCTGGTATCCCTTTGTCTCTTTGCATGTGTTGCTGCCTTACAAGCTTTGTGCAGCTCTTTGTGCCGGAAGGATCTGTCAGACATCCACGGGCTGATAAGGGGGGGAATAAAAACCTTTGTGAGGAACAAAGCAGAAAACTAGACAATCATTTTCTCCTTCAGGAGCTGGAGCAATTGCCTGGAACCTCTGCCGAATTTTACAGAGATTGGCGCAGGTACTTAAAAAGTGGAAAAGAAAAATACCAGCTTTTGCTTAAACTGGAGGGGAAGGCCTTGAGCAGAATCTTTCAGGCCGAGTTGGGTTTTGGCCTCCTGGGTGAGTTCCTTACCGTGCTGGCAGAGAACATCTGCCACGAAGACAGAGATGCTGTGCTTCAGATCTTACAGAGCCTTTCCAGCACCAAACGCTTTGGGTTAAACCTGGATCTTCTGAGCACGTCAGAAAAAGAGAGCACCAGGGATCTGTTTAGGAAGCTGCAGAGCATGAGTGGGGGTTATTGGACCCCTGGCCGTCCCTGTGGCGAAGCAGAGGGAGAAGCCAACCCCACCGACACCGACTTGCAGAAGGAAGCGGAGGAAAGGAGAGTCACAGAGCTGATGAGGTGCTACCAGGCCAGCTGAGGGAGCAGCAGTGGTTCTGCCAAATAAAGGTTAGCAAAGACTTTGTGTTCTTGTGATCTCTGTGTCCTCACAGGACAGTTCTGTAAGAATCTCTTAGGTGAGGAGAATAAATGAGGGAAAGAACATTTAGGCTGACGTGTACAGAGGAGAAACCAAAACCCAGGTAGTTCCTCCCCTTCTTCATCTCTGTCCATTGTCACTCTGGATTTAAGAAATGTAATCCAGGACATTTGACACTTAACCACGCAGCCAGGGCTGGTGAGGGTGGGGATGCAGTGCAATGTGGAAATTCTGGGACTGACCCATTTTAAGCAGGGCTTGGTGTAAACCTCAGAGATGCTGTCACCCCATGGTCCTGGACCAAGGTTTGCCTAAATTCTACATAAATTGAAATTTAGAAGGAACTGTCAGGCAGCACTGTAACAGGGGGACTCTCCAATGCTGTGTGTTATCATGTCTGGATTGATTAGCCATTCTGTTTAGGCTGCAGACTTCAGAAAGGCTCTCATATGGTACAGCTCAGCACCTGCCCACCACACTCTCCTGCAGGTCTAGTGTGGGAAGATCTCCCAGGAGTGCTGGAGAGCACAGGCTGTACTGCACTGCTCAGATTCCCTTGAATTCAGCTCAGAATCAACTACCAAGTCCATTTTGTTCAAAAGCCCAGCTAGAGGAGCAAAAGGCAGAGTCAGCCCTGCCTGGCTATATCTCACCCTCTCCCACCTTCTCTAGAAACTCTAGGCCCCCAATTTCAGGCTTCTCTTGGCACGTGTCTTGGTTTTGTGGCATGTATCTTGGGGACGTGTGTGTCCCTGCAGTCTTTTTGCCTTTGTGCAGCCAGGAAGCTAACAGAAAGCCTTTTGTCTTAAACAAAAAGGGAAGATCCTGGGGGCTCCCAGAATCAGAGCTGGGGATACTGATACATCAGGGAGGATATGAAACTCTAATTATCTTATGTGAAACCTCTGGCTCTGGGCTACAGGTGAAGCTGCCAGCAGGGAGGTTCTCCATGATCATTGTCTACAGAAGAGTTGGTAAGGCGATCCTTAATGTTTGCTTTTTTTCAAGAGAACAGCAGTGATTCCCTTGTTCCCCCCTCCATTTTGCTTCCATGGCCGTGCTACATGATGGAGCTCTCTGCTGGTTGCCCATAGCAAAACCCATAGCACAGCACATTCCAGAACACCTGGAAAGGTTTAGAGCAGCTGGAAGGGTTCCAGAGCCGTGTCCCTTGGACACCTAGGATGGAGATGGGGCTGCTGGGAGCCGTCCTGCTCCTCTGCATGGCAGATGTTCTCCACTCCTTTGCGATTGAGGAGAAAGAAGACATATTCAGGCGCATGGTGTGTCCTGCTTTCCTGATGTTTGACAACGCCGCCTACCTGGCCGACATGACCTTCGAGCTCCCCTGCAACTGCAAGCCCGAGGAGGTCTCCAACGTCGTCTGGTATTTCCAGAAGAACATGGGAGGCCACGAAACCACCGTCCTGACAGACTTTTCTGGCAACATGGTGCTCGACTCGAGCCACATCCACGTGGGCACTGACGTCCTGAAGCGTTTCACTATCCGGATGTTCAGCCTCATCGTTTTCCGTGCCCAGGTGTCAGACTCGGGCCACTACCTGTGTGGCACCCAGAAAGGGGATTTTTTTTACGGCTATGACGTGGACGTGCAGCCCACCAAGCACATCACAGTGGCGTTCTTGGACGTGGGACAGCACGTCCAGGATGATCACACGGCGAAGGCCTTCAGTCTCTTCACCACCTTCTGGGACTGGACCACGTGCGACCGCTGCGGGGTGCGAGGCGAGCAGCGGCGCATCGGGCTCTGCTACGTGCAGAGCGCCCGGCTGCACCCGCGCTACCGCACCGTGCTGCCCAACGTCACCTCCTGCGGCTCCAGGGCCGTTCCGGCGCGGCTCCAGCGCTCCAGCCGCCACCGGAAGCCCGAGGTGGCGATCCGGAGCTGCGTGGCCCCGTGTCCGCAGGAGGACAACCCGCAGGAAGGCGTGCAGGCCATCTCCAACGTCATCCACAAGCTGGGCCAGAAGCCCTGGCTGCCCCGCGTCCCCACGCAGTTCTACAAGCATCCCCTCGGAAGAGATCTGGTCATCGCCTGCCCCGGGGCCCGGCCCGAGCACGCCGTGGCGTGGGACAAGGACTCCGTGCGGCTCTACCGCTCCCGCTACCTCGTGGGAGTCAACAAGAGCATGCGCGTCTTCATCGACCACGGAAACCACCTGCACGTCCGCCGGGTCCGCTTCAGTGACGGAGGCACCTACCTCTGCTGGAGGGAGGGCAAACTGGTGGCCGGGCTGCGGCTCCGTGTGAGCTACCAGGCTCAGCGCCGCCGCTCGCTCGATGACCCCGAGACGATCTACGTCGTCAAGGCCATCGGTGTCAGCTACGTCCTCGTCGGGGCCGTCTTCATCGGCATCCACTTGTGCCGCTGCTGCTGGTGGGCGCTGCAGCACTCTGTGAGGATTTAGGGTCAATCACACCTCGCACCGCTCCCTGGTGGGAAATTTGTGAGGTTTTGACTGCTGGAAATGCGGCCGCTGCCCTCCTATCCTCCGCTCGGGGTTGTGCAGCAATGGAGACCAAAGTGGAAAGTCCTGTTGCGCTGTGGCAGGGATTTCCCACCACTGTGTCACTTCCTGGCTTCACTGAAGGCTTGTGGTGGGCTTTTAACCTCAGTGTAATCCTTTTTGAATGAATAGCTGGAGCCGTTGCAGCGTTTTCTGGCTAAGCACCATGGAGTTCTGCCATGCCGGTGATTTATTAGGGTTGTTTTTCTAAGAGGCCACTGTAATCCTCCAGACTGTTCTACTCCGATTAATTCTGGCTTTCCTTACCTTTTAAAAATCATATCCCCACTGCCCACTGTGTTCCCCAAGGCCAACCGCAGCCCAAAGCTGCCCACCAAGGCAGTGCCACCAAGGCCAACCTCAGTGACGAGGACCCTCCTGTTGCCAGTGCCAACTGTGCCCCAAAGGGATTTTAAGACACTCAGTGTTTGTGCAAGATCCTCAGCTGGAGTGATCTGTTTTTCAACAAGCTGAGTTTGAACATTTCTATTTTTCTTCTGCACCAGAGGGTGGTGGGCTGGAGCTCAAGGAGCATTGGGACACCAGTCTTAGACGTAGGATTTAGGCAGAGCCAGGAGTTGGGCAATGATCCTCATCCCTTCCAGCTGGGGATATTCTGTGTTGGCAGAATGCATTGGTCATGGCCTGGGGCTCAGGGCTGAGCCTTGGTCCCACAGTGAGAAACCTTTGAGCACCCAAAGGGCCGCTGTGCCCTGACTGATCCCAAAAACGCACCGCTCTGCAGCTTGTCCTGCAGGTTGCAGTCATGACCACCGACACAGCACTTGTGTTAGGCTTTATTTCACACCTCATGTTGTTGCAGCGTTAGGGCATTAATCCAGTAGCAGTAAGGGCTGCAAAGCACCATCCAGCTCATGGGGGACAAAGTGACCCCTGGCACTGTCACCCCGTAACACATCCTGCCCTGGGAATGGCCCCTGTGGAACCAGGATCTGCAAAGCTCAGAGCTGAGCTGGGGGATGTGGAGATAAGTGGGGTGAGGAGGCAGCACCCCAGTGGCACCCCATGGGCTCAACTTATGGAGTAAGGGAAGTGCTGATGAGTGGGTGCTGCTGTGTTAGGTGGCAGCAGGGCACGTTTAGCTTATGGTCAGTGGCTAAAATAAAGTGAGTATGGGGTCTACGGGGGCCCCAGGTGGGTGACATGCAGTGGGAGAGCGCACAGGAGACAGGGCCGCACAGTGCTGAGGGACAACAGGTTTCTTCCAACCTCTCCGGAATGGCCATGCAGAGCTGGGCTCGGGCCAAGAGCCCCCTGGACTGTCTCCTCATCTCTGGAGATGGGGGCATCTCAGCATGCTGCATCCCATCAGGGTCAAAACAGCCCCATGGCGCTGTGTCCAGGAAAGCCAACAAGGACTCCCACGCTGCTGTGCCCGTTGCTGCTCCAGCCCCACAACCGCTCTGCATCCCCAGGCACCCTGCTCAGGCCCCACTCCGTCACCCTTCTCCCCATCCCAACATCGACCTGCCTCCCCGTATGCTCCATCCTCCTCTTCCTCCTGCCTGCACCTCTTGGCTAAGCCCAACTGCTGCTCGACAACAGTAAAACATCCCTGGCCATGCAGTGCCACGTCCCCTCCAGCCCTCCCAGGGATGCCCAGGACACGGTGGGGAAACTCGAGGTGGCCTCCTGGACCAATGAGGTGGGAAGTGGGGAGCATTGCCCCCATATCTCAGTCCTGACTGGACTAACACAGGGGTGGTGGGGGAGATGAGGGTGGGTTTCTCCTATGTCTCCGGCCCCACTGCAGGGCTCCCTCGCAGCATCAGGTGGGATCTACGGAGCTACAGCTACAAGCGTGGCTGTGGCTTCACACCTACACCACTTCCTTGTGCTCCTGCTTGGACTCCTTGATCACCTGGAAGCAGAGGGAGAAGGACTGTCAGCCCACTCAGGTCTGTCTGAACATGCCTGGGGACGGGACCCGTGCACATGACAGAGTGTCTCCCCTTGGGGATGGAGGAGATGAAGACTTCCCACCTCTCCATCTCTCGTCTCCACCGTTTTGACCACAATGCTCCTCTTCAAATGAGCTTCTGACACAGACTTGGTGTCCAGGCTGGTCTCTAGGGAACACAGGGAGGTTTAGGTTAGACATTAGGAGGATGTTTTTCACGCAGAAGGTGGTGAGGCACTGGAACAGGTTGCCCAAGGAGGCTGTGGATGCCCCATCCCTGCAGGCATTCAAGGCCAGGCTGGATGTGGCTCTGGGCAGCCTGGGCTGCTGGTTGGTGACCTGCACACAGCAGGGGGTTGGAACCAGATGAGCGTTGTGGTCCTTTTCAACACAGGCCATTCTGTGATTCTATGGATGGGACAGGGTGGTGACCCAGCGCTCCCAGTATGGCCGCTCATACACCTTGAAGGGGTGCAAAAGGAATTAGTTGGGCTGAAAAATCCCAATCTGTTGGAGCGAACACTATTGGCCTTGGGAGAAATGTCAGCACTGGGTTGCGGTTGGGGACCTTGTGGTTGGGACTGGACTGTGACCTTGGGGTGAAGGTAGCACTGAGGACATGGCTGGCCCTGAGGATGTGTCTGGCTTTGGTATGTGGCTGGCCGTGGGGACACGGTTGGCACTGGGGATATGACTGGCCTCATCGATGGTGTTGGCCTTGGTGACATGGCTTTGAGTTGTGGCTGGCCTTAGGGACAAAGCATCCCTGGGGGAAGATTGGGCACTTGGTTATGGTTGACACTGGGGATGAGGGTAGCACTGGGGACATGGTTGGTGTTGGCTACATGCAACACTAGGAATACAATTAGCCTCATCAGTGGAGTTGGCCTTGGAGCCACGGTTAGCCTCAGCAACAGGATTGACCCCGGGGGAATGGTTGGCACTGGGGACGCGGCCTCGGAGATGCCGTTGGCCTTAGGGATGTGACCACGGCGTATCATCCCCTCCACCTTGGGACTCTGCAGGGGACTCTTGGGGCACAGAGAGCTGGCAGCCCATCCTACCCCCATCCCGTGCACAGCTGCAGCCTCACCTCGGATCTGCAGGTTGGAGAAGCTCTGCACAGGGACGGTGATCCTGCGGGAGCAACGGGAGCGTCGGGGAGAGCATCGGGTCCCCTCTGCCCCACGGGTGAGGCAGGAGGGCTGCAGGGCGCTCCCCAAACCCAGCAGCACCAAAAGGACCCAGGGATGGTTCGGGGCAGGGAGGGCCGTCACCTGCTCTCCTCGCCCTCCAGCAGCTTGCGGTACGTGGCGATCTCGATGTCGAGGGCCAGCTTGACATTGAGCAGGTCCTGGTATTCCTGCAGGTGCCGCGCCATCTCCTCCTTGAGGCTGCGGATGTCCTCCTCCAGCCGTCCCACCGTGTCCTGGTAGGCGGACGTCTCCAGTGCATAGCGCTCCTCCAGCTCCCGCAGCTGCCTCTCCAGGGACTCGTTCTGGTGACCACCGTGGGACGTGATGCCCTCGATGCCACCTCCTTGGGCACCCATGGTGCCACGACCCGGGGATACGTCACACCTCATGCCCTACAGTTGGCACCTACCGAGCCCCGCAGAGCCTCCAGGTCGCAGGTGAGGGCCTGCAGCTGCCGTCGGTACTCGTTGGCCTCATGCTTGGCTGCACGTAGGGCCTCTGCGTGCCGGGCAGCTGCATCTGTCAGGTCTGCAAACTGGAAGGGACACACCGTAGGGTCAGCCCTCCTGTGCCATTGCCCCATAGAGCCACCCAGCCACAGGAGAAGCCAACCCAACCCATGGAGATGATATACGGGGACAGGGTGCCACCTGCACCTTGGACTTGTACCACTCCTCAGTCTCCTGCATGTTGCTGGCAGCCATGGCCTCGTACTGCGTGCGGATATCGCGCAGTGCTGCCGTCAGGTCTGGCTTGCTGGCATCCACCTCCACGTGCACCCGGTGCTGGGCCAGCTGCTCCTGCAGCTCCCGCAGCTCCTGCAGGGAACCGGGGTCAGCGAGATGATGGATCCCCCCTGGAGCCCTGCACTGCAGCAACGTTACCTCCTCATGCACCTTCTGGAGGAAGGCCACCTCATCCTGCAGGGACCCTACGCGACGCTCCAGGTCAAGGCGAGCCAGGGCAGCAGCATCAACATCCTGCCACCGTGTGACATGGAGGGATCAGCACCAGGGTGGGCACGGAGGTCTGCCCATCCCTCCATCGCATCTCCTGTCATCCCACCCTGTCCCAGGAGCCCCAGAGAGGGGAGCTGATGCCCACTCCCCATCTCATCCCCTGCCCTCACCTGCCGGTACGCAGCCAGGGTGCTCTCAGCTTCCAGCCGCAGGGTGACCTCCTGCTGCAGCCTTCAGTGGAGCAGGGACATGTTGTTACTCATGAGACACAGTCACTTGTTACTCATGGTGGCCACTTACAGCTCAGACCGTGCTAGAGCAGCCCCACTGCACTTATATACCACCCCAGTAGCCATTTCCTAGTTCTGGTGGTCACCTCGGACCCCATCACTACCTTGGTCATCGTCCTGGTGACCCCCTTAGTGCTGCTGGACACCCTGATACTTGTTCCAGTAGACACCTTTGTGCCTGGGACCACTATGATCACGGTGGACACATTGGTCCTCGTCACCATCCTGGTCCTTACCCTGATTGTGGCAGCCACTCTGATCCCCAGTACCACCTACATCTCCATTATCACCCTGCTCCCCATCATCAATCACTTTGGGGCCACTTTGGTCCCCAGCATCACCTTGCTGCCCGTTGCCACTCCAGCACCCATCGCGCTGCCCATCACCAGGCCGATCCCCATCCCGGTCCCCATTATCCCCCCGGTCACAGTGGCTACCTTTAGTCCCCACCACCACCACCACCTCAATCCTCATCACCACCCTGGTCCCCACCACCACGTCGGTCCCCACCCCGGTCCTGGCAGCCACCTCAGTCCCCCCCCCCCCCCCCCGTTGCAAGACCCCCCCATACTTTTCCCGCAGACTCCCCAGCTCCTCAGCCAGGCCGTCCCTCTGCACCTCCGCGCGCGCCTTGGCGGTGCCCAGCAGCTCCACGCGGCGCCGCAGCTCCCGCAGCTCCTCCTGGTACACATCGGCCAGACGGGACGGCTCCTGCTCCCGCGCCCTGTTCAGCTCCAGCACCAGC